TTCAAGAGCTTTATAAGTTCCTGAACAGTTTTGAGTTTAAAGCAGATAGTCTGTAATTGAACATTGCTTGTTGAAAGTCATTTGCCGATAGAAATTTCAAACCGATCTCTGTTGCTGGAGTGGAAAAACAGCAAACAGCTCTAATAACCGAATGAAAGCCGCGCGTCATTCGCAACTGCCATATTCCTTTGCTGTCACGTCTTTGTCCCCGCTTCAAAGCATTGATTTGGTCCGTCTATTGACTCATACCTGGCGTCTAGAAATTTTTTGGTTTCCTTCTTTTGYGATTCATTGAAACTACTTTGGCAATTTTCGACATAATTGCTTTTGTTGCTTTATTCGTTGCAGTTCCGTTGATCAAAAGTGAGTCAGATTTCGTCACCGTTATGTGCCGATTCACCCGTTTAAGCGGYTTAAGATCTTATTTTCTACGATTTTTACGCGAAATTGTGTCTTTGGAGCAAATTATTGCACTGCTTTGCTTATAAGAGTATTCCACATCTTATTGCTGAAGTATGATTGCCTTTTTCTTTCATTTCTTGTGTATTTTTCAATTTGCTTCAATGTGTGTATGTGTGTTTGATTGTATGTCTCTTAACTGTTTAGGAAGTCCGCCTGCCGTATATGGCGCCTGCGACAAGTGAGTTTGCAGCCGTGGCTAGAGCTGTAGAGCTGTGGCAATGTGACAGAAAAGTAATAAAATATATACATAACTGTTAAAAGTGTTACGATGTCCAAAAATTATTTTTGGAGCAAACATTATATGTATATGCACATGAGTATGTAGGTATGTATGTATGCATGCTTGTATCCCTATTGGTAATGTTGTTGACATGCTGTCGTGCCATTCTCAATAGAAATGCTGCACATGTATACTTTAATGCATATAAATACACGAATATTCCAACTGTTCATACATATGTACTTACGTATGTAGTATAAAACATATGATTTTTGAATTTTAATTTCCATTTAATGCAGCGCTTTTATTTTTTCTTAAATATTCTTATTTGCGCCTCAAAATTTCTCATTTCATCTTCATGYTGTTGCTATATTTTTATTGCTCTGCTATTTCCCATAGACTTGCTATTATTTATGGAAATTGCCGAAACATTAATCGTATATATTCTTATTATGTCTTATTGTGTTATTCACTTGTGGGTCTTTGTACTGTTCTTCTTCTTTTATACATATGTATGTGCGATTTCCTGTTGTTTTTATTCTTTTGCACTTATAAGGAAGTGCTAATGTCTTCATATTATTTTATTTTAATGAGTACAGTAATGCTCTATGAATTTAAGACTGTTAACSCTTAAAAGATGATTTTTTGAAGATTTCTATGCCAACAAGCCAGSGACTATTGATGAACTTCGTTCGAATATCGAACGTGAAATTGCGGCAGTATCGCCCGATTTATGCTTGAAACCCGTTGAAAATTGGGTTCAGCTTGTAGAAGTCYATAGCAAGCGTGCGCGTGGTGATCACGCAAAAGAAATCGAGTTCCATACATAATGGAATAAAAAATCTCATTGATAACCCAAATTTTGTTTTATTTTAAAAAAGGTTATTGAAAAACTCGTGCTATAATGGTCCGATCTGAAAGGGGATTTTAGCGTCGMTTAGATCAGCGTTCTACGACAAATATCGGGTATAAAGTAATTCTCCGACTTGGATCGTTCAGTGGTACGATATCAGCGGTTCCGACAAATCAAGAGCTTCTTGAGGGAAAACTGAGAGYTCGGGTTTATACAGACAGATAGTTGGATGTTGCTGGCTAAATCAATGCTGGTCAAGCTGGCCGTTTAAGAATTATATATATTTTAAAGGGTCTTTTACGTTTCCATCTGAAAATTATAAATTTCRTGGTAAGCTTCATATATGGCTTCGGTGCATCAAATACGAAGTTGGTTCCTAAAATGGTCTCAGGTTCTCGTATGTAATGAAATATTTATTAACATATGTAACAGGGTTGCAGTTGGTGGTGTGGTGGATATAAATTTTTGCTTTTTTCGAAACTCCAYCTTTGAAACATACAATTTCATTAGGTTAAGGCGGATTAATCGATCATAGAACACMGAATATTTTGGAATAAAATCTGATWATTACTCGTAGRAATTTTGTTTTAAGAATAACAATGTAAAATACACTTAATTTATTTTAAGTAATTTGTGCGAAATGAAGTTATTTCGGTTGTAGTGTGAACACCACATTGCATAATTTGCTTTCGGCTTTACCGGTTTACCAACATTTATTGTGAGTTTGTGACGCCTCCGACTGTAATGCGTTATAGGCGGCACAGGTGGTTGTCGYGGATGAGAGGAAACAGTGACGAAGCATTTCACATTGTCTTAATTATGACTAGAATTTCCTATGAACTCTTCTTTGCTCATATTTTCATTAGTTAATAAACTAAAAATACAATTTGCATATAAAAAGTTTATTTCAAAAGGTATAAATCACATTTCTGGATGTAATTGTATGTATGAATATGTGTACATATGTACATGGCTGCCTTATATGGTCGCTCTATGCTGCTTTGGTGTGAATCTGTGCAAATGCGGGAAGGTGCGAACGCGATTATTCAATTGRCTTAGTCAGAAGTTTATTGATTGAATTTGCACCTAACATACATATGTACATACATACGTACACACAAATTTACCGTTGTACAGGTATGTCTATCATGCTTTCTCACTGTTCTCCGCACTTCTTCGACGCTGCAGAGTTTTAATCCGATTTGCTGGCATATTGCACTCTTCTGTTTTAATGATTTGTGTTTTTGATTCTTTTTACGCCGACTAGACGCGTTCGTGTTTTTGTTGTTGCCTTTTCATGATTCTGATGTCACTATTATTGTATTGTAGATTTGCGAAATCTACGCTTATCGCTGCACAGCTGTATTGTATTGAAGTGAGTGGTTGGGGGTCAAGTGAATATTTACAATAGGCAAATCGAATTTTGAACGAGATAAGAGAGCATTGGGCGGCTATTTTTAATTTTTTATTAAAAAAAAAATTGTTGACAAATATGTATGAGATATCTGAGCTGCAAAGCAAAAAGTGTTAAGAAACAAGTTTGGATGTTTTTGATTGGAAAAGTGACTTTTTCTGATTTTTGTGCTTTTATGTTCTTTTTTTTATTGTTTTCTGCTTTTGTTTTTTTTATATGTAAAATTTGGATTATAACCAATTTTTTTAAATA